AGTTTTTGGACTGTTAAATTATTTCATTATCCTAGCCCATTTTAGATTGCACTCATATCTGACTAACAAGGTTGTTTTCTTGTAACTCGATATTTTTTATGTTCTTGACACATTAAACTGAATATTTTGCAGGGTGCTATTATGCTGTCACATAAACTTAAATTTACCATAGATATATTCACTATCAAGAATAAACTATACAATTTTCCCCAGATTGTACAACATACACAATAATGCTCATGGTGCCATTTTTAGCAGACCAGCGATTGCAGCTCTGATTGGTTGTCCTATATTCTCTGTGCTACACCTGCACGTCTGACTCATGATTACAGCTGCTACTGTGTTCCCAGTGATTTATAGCTGTTCATAAACATGTCTGCATCAGCCTGTTTTAGTGTGAGGTCACATGTTTCAGTTACTCTGAGGGTTCTTTAATGATCATGATGCAGATTTCAAAACTTAATGAAAGTTACGGCATTAACATTTCAGTTTATAATTCTGTTTTTGAGATGGTTTACATAAAGCAGAAAGTCAGTTATGACAGTGATGAGTTTGTGACGTGGTATTTTAGTAAAATCGTCCTGAGTTATTCAGTAAATGTGCATGAGGGTCAGTGATGTGAGTAAAGTCAGATCATTAGTCACAACTCTGATCTTTTCATTATCTCCTCTCAGATAAACACTTGGCCGTTGCCATTACTGGGGCATTCATTACGTGGGCGTATCATCATCAGGCTCACTTATTTAAAACACTCTGATGGGTTCAAGTCAGTGTCACATTTAATCGAGACCTGCAGGGAATGAATAACTGAGAAAATAAACTCTATGGTAATGAATACACACACACACACACACACACACACACACACACACACGCACACGCACACACACACACACACACACACACACACACACACACACACACACACACACACACACACACACACACACAAACAGTTAAATGTCAAGTTCTCTCTCAGCCGTTACCAACAGAATACAAATTATTTCCCCTTCCAAACCAAAGGCTACTTGCAAAATAAGCATTCTGAGAGGAAAAACCTAGAAACGTTAACTTGTGTTTTACTGTCGTGTCCTGAGATAATAAGGCCCTGTCCACACGTAGCCGGGGATTTGCCAAAACCTAGATATTTTTCTACATTTTGGCCTGTCATCCACACGAAAACGGATCTTTTTAAAAACTCCGGCCAAAGTGAAGATCTGCGTTTTCTCCGTTTTGGGTGTCTGCGTGTGGACAGACAAAACCGGAGTTTTAAGGTCCGCAACGTCACTTTCCGCGACAAAAAAATGCTGACATCACGTGTGCGACCTGTGTTTACACTAGCCGACAGCATGGATGCCCTCAGAGCTGCGCTCGCTTTATCAGTTGTCCAAGCGCTTTTTGCTTGTTTGTTTTTGCAAGCAGAATTACTGCTCCTTGCGGAAGACCACAGACGAAGGACGAGGTTAAGAACGGGGGAAGAACTGCCGCCTACAGGTCTGGCATGTCCTTAACAACGTATTTATCTGGGTACGTGTGGACAGAGTTTTTTTTTAAAACGAGGTGGTGTGGATGGAAATTTTTGGAGGGGCGGATATTCGTTTTTAAAAAAAAACGGCTACGTGTGGACTAGGCCTCAGTTTACTCCACTTTTTAGGACAGAAACACGATAATGTTTCTATAGTTTAAAAAAATCTCCCACAACTTTAATCCAACTTTCAGAAAATAAACTGATAAGAAGTTACAGTGCAAGTCAAGAAGAAAATACAAAGCATATTGACATTTTAAATTACTCAAAATGCCATGAAGGGATGAGGTGTTTTAGGTCTCGTGTGGCTGTTAAGGTTGTGACATATTATATAGTAGTTATAGAAACAAGCTGTGCTTGTGAATGATGAAACAAATATATGGGAAGAAAAGGAAACAAAATAAAGAACATTGTTTTTATTAAGTGCGTGTGCAGTTTGCATATAATGGTGACTATTAAGCATGTTTTTGTTACGACTTTGTTGCTGGAAGTGCTCGTGGACCCGATAACGGGTCTGTCTGGGTCCTGAGGTTAAGCCTGTCAGATCTGAGAAGATATTAAGAAAATGTTTCAGATTCACTTGTTAAAGAGAGAATCGCGACAAGGGCAGACACACCTCCACTGTTACGGTCAGTGATAATACGTTTGTCTATTCTTGCTGACAGAATGTGATTTATTAGCCAGACTCTAGTTGTACAGATGTATGTGAGGATAATTTACTAAAAGACAGTATGAATTATAGCAGGGACAAAGAAATCCAATAGGCTGAAATATGACTGACATAATTTATTTCTAGTCTATTCTTTAAGTTTGAGGTTATGATATCAGCATGTGGTAAACCTGCTGTGGAAGGCAGTATTTTTAGACATTTATGAACAAATTAAACACATTTCCTTGTAATAAATATTGTAATTAGTGTGTGTTGTGAGGAGATGCAAACAGAAATGTTCACACTTATTTTCTGACACCATCATCCCACCTTCAACCATGTTTCAATCCTAAAACAAGACCTTCTCAGTTCTCACCTTCTGACATTAGAGCACATTTATGTGTCTCACAGTCCTGTTCATCCTGAACTCTGAGGTCTAAATATGAACTATTTTCAACACTGAATGACTTGAATGATATCAAGATTAATGTATCTATTGAGGGTTCGAGGAGGAGTCATGTGGAGTAGAATGAGTTTTCAGTCCATTCAGACGATGAGATACATCAACTGTCTGACCCGTCACCAGACCGCTGTGACCAGACACGCTGCTTTCAATCAGTCATGCTCACTAACTCCGTCCGCTTGGCTTTTGAATCCTGATCCGAGGAACAAATTGTGGACTCTCAGGGTCATTGGATCCCTGACATGTGACCGTTATCCAGTCCTGCCTTTATCTGAGTAATGATCCATAAATGTGGTTAGAGAAGGCTGTGCACCAGTCAGCAGGTAATATGATGGGCTGGTGTTCTGCAGGTTTCTGGGTACCAAACACCAGACTGATTCAGATATGACCAGGAAAGTGTTGCTCTTTAACATCTAGCCTTTAATGATGTTCTGTTTAGTTTTGAACCTCCCTGTCAGGCTTCTCCAGTTAGTGGTGTTCCTGTCAGACAAACTCTGACGTGACCTTTCACTTTCTCCATCATTCTGGTGTCACCATAATGACTCCCTCTCTCGTCACTCACACCTGTTTCACTTCAGCTGCACCAACTCCAATAACTTCCCAATCCTTACCACTGCACTAAAATGCCACCCTGCAGAGACTCTTCATTCCAGTCATTCTGTCACCTTCATCTTGTTTCATGTGTCACCTCATCTTCTCCCTCCAACCTCCCAGTCCAAAGTTCTTCAGTTATTGCAGTTTGGTTCAGAGCTCAGCACAGGGTCTAGCCAATGATACAAACTCATTA